GAGTGAGAGAGTGAATGGTTGTTTGTCTCATTTGTCTCTATGTGTCCCTGTGATGGACTTGCGACCTGTCCAAGGTGTCTCCCGCCTCTAACATAGTGATGGCTGGACATGGGCACCAGCAAACCTCTGTGACCCAAAAAGGAAGAAGCTGGTAAAGATAATGGTAGCTCAGTTGGTAGAGCCGCCACCTTTCAGCCAGAAGGTTGCAGGATCAAATCCCAGCCGAAGGCCTTTCTGGGTGGAGTTTGCAAGTTCTCTGAGTTATCTCCGGGTACTCCGGTTTCGTCCCACACACCAAAAACATGCATGTTAGTCTGATTGGTAACTCTAAATTAATTAATTCATTCATTCAACCTTTATTTAGACAAGTTAGTTTCATTGAGTCACGACTCATTTACAAGAGAGACCTGCTAATTTTTTATCATGACACACAGAGTGAATGGTTGTTTGTCTCATTTGTCTCTTTGTGTCCCTGTGATGGACTGCAGATATGACCAGTGTCCCCTGCCTCTTGTACAGTGATGGCTGGACATGGGCACCACTGACCCCCACGACTCAAAAAGGAAGGAGTGGAAAAAAGATAATGGATGATGGATGGATGGATGATGATTATGGATGGATGATGATGGATGGATAATCATAGTTGTAAAAGCTAAATTTTTCAAAAAGTAAAAATTGCACAGATACCAAAAAATCATAGCAGGACTGTCCTGAATGAGTTGAACGTTTTAATACATGAATTGTTGAACTAGCACAAAAACTGTGGAATGAGATTTTCATTCAGTCAACCTTTATTTATACAGGTTAATCCCACTGAGGCTCGGGGACTCATTTACAAGAGAGACCTGATTTTAACAAAGAGTGATGACAACAGTGGATAACAACGACAACAATAGACAATCATAAAATGTTTTTTTAACAAGTTAAAATAAAATGGCAACCAAAAGAACAATCAAAAGGAAAAATTGTTAAAAAAAACAGCTAGATTGTAAGGCGGTGTAGAAGTGTAGTTACGTGCCGTAAAGATAATGGATATATGGACTTACATTCTGAAAAATGTACATAAATGTGTGAATGCTTTAAAAAATAAAACCATAAATAAATAATAAAATCCATATCACCATAATTTTTGCATCATATGATTGTTTTCAGAATAATTCTGTAATCCCTAGTGTCATGCTAAAATGCATGCTTTTTTGTTTTTTATTTTATGCATTATTCACATTTATTTATTAGTTGTTTTAAAATGTCAGCAATAATTTCTAACCTTAACTGCCTTTGTCCAGGCTGACATCTCTCTACAACAGATATGGTTCACAACTTTCCACAGAACCTCACATCTAAATGTCTGAAATGTCCCTTTAACTCTACAGCTGATTTCAGTTGTTATTAAAACAACTTTCTAACAGTGCAGAGTTAAAAGATACCATTTCTCTTTGGTTTGATCAGTTTAAAATCACATGAAATGACTGTCCTGAGTACAAACTACTAATGAAAACCTATTGTGAAACGTCTCTCCTGTGTTTACTTCTTTCACAAGTTTGTTGTTTCACCTTGTTCAGAGAAGGGACGCTTGACGAAAGGGGGCGGTGCGGAGGGGCGGAGCCGCTTTCTCCCCGGGCGGTGTCAGCTGAAGAAAACGCAACAGAGAGGCACGTTCAGGCGGACACATCTTCAGGTGGGTTTACCTTCTCACACCAGCGGACTTCAGGTAAGAAGAATGGTTTCTAAGGGCGTTTTCCAGTAACTCATGTTTTAGCTTCACTTCACTACGACACATTAAAACTGCATTTCCCAGCATCCATTAGGCTGTCTCTGTGAGATGTGCAGATTACCTGTTGTTGGGAGTATTTCTCTTTCTGTTGGTGGCTGTTTATCAAAATGAAGCTAAACTGTAAAAACAAGTATAGAAGATTTGACATTTTAACATGAATGTGATAAAGTTATAATAAAAAATAAACATTCCATTAGTCGGGGAGCAGAAAACAAAATACTGACAGGACTTTGATCTTTAAAGAAATGTGAGACTGAGGAAGGTTTTTACTTCCTACTGAGAGTTATTGAGAAAGACCAGCCATGTCCCTGGATGGACATGTTATAAACCACATCATGTCCCAGGATGGACACGTTATAAACCACAT